GGGGGCGGGGGGGGCGTGAGAATTTCCGAAGGCTGTAGAGCCAAAGAACGATCGGGTCTTGGGGAGACGTATCAACGAAACCAAGGTTGTGATTGATCCACACGTTTCCCGATCCCCTCTTGAACACGACATGAGTGTTTGGGGCAGGCTTCAAGACACGCAAGCCCACTTGCAGCATTAGCATCATCAGTAAAGCATCCGGGGGTGCTGCCACAACAGAGGGAGGAGGTGTCCCTGCCAGAAATCAGCGGATTGTTGTCGCGGGCTCCCTCTCATGCACATCTCACTCAAACAACCCGTTCTGCTAAGCGCTACGATCTTCCTGCGATTCTCACATCGTGGTGCGGAGCGCGCTCCATTCACGCGATCCCGCGTCCCCCATAGCCGCCGCGTTGATGGCGGCCACCGCAGCCGCCGCAGCCGCAGACGGAGGCCCCTGCTGCCCCGCAAGCTCTTGCCGAGGTGCCAACACCAACCCCCGCCCCCGCTGCTGCTGCTGCTGCTGCGGTCTTTTCCCTAGACGATGAGGCTGCCTTACGAAGTCGCCAACCGGCGCACTCAGGAGAGAGACCGGTCCGCTGCTGCCGGCAGCGGCGCCGGCGCCAGCGAAAACCCCGCCGCCCCTCAACGCCGCGGGGCCGACCGTCGCTCCCCCTCCCACGAGGTTTATGCCGGCCTTTTGTTGCCTCTGCGGACCGCCGCCGATCGCACGCGCCATCATGGCCCCCACGTCCGGTGACGGCTGTGGCAGCCTGGAACTTGAATCCTGGGTTGACCAACCGTATGTTGGCGTCTGTTGAAGACCCACCCGAGCGGTGCCGCCTCCGCCTCCGCCGCCGCCGCCTCCGCCGCCGCCACCCCCATGGGAGCGGCTAACCGGCCACGGCCCTCCCGCCGTAACGGACCGCGCAAGCACGTTCGTCGTTGCACCCATTCCCCACTGCTGCTGCTGCTGAGCGCGGGGGGAATGGTGCGCAACCTGAGGCAGCAGAGGCTGCGGTAATCCCCCCCCGCCGTAGCTCTCACCACTACCGCCTGCTACGCGAGCAAAGGGTGCCTGCGGTTGTTGCTGCTGCTGCTGCTGCTGCTGCACGATGCGCGTTTTTTTCTGACCCGAACCGGTTCCGCCCATCGCAGAGCTGCCACCAGCAACACCGCCACCGCCACCGCCGCTGCCGCTCCTTTGCGCCTGTGGAGCAACCCAGCTCCCGGGACTCGCTGGTCGCGTCGACGTTCCTTCCATCCCGCTGCTGGGAGGCGCCGCGCGGCCGCCCTCGGACCCTCCTCCCCGGCGTGCTGCCATGCCGGTGGGCGGGGAGGCCACCCCCCACCCCCCCCCCCCCCCCC